GCAGCCCATCAACCTCCTCCTACATGTTTACCGGAACTTCGGAGAGCATTGCTTTTTGAGTGGTGTAATATCCCCCAAGATCAGATCGATAATTTGATACTCAGCATGCCTAGGCGTTGTACGGACTGTACTGCATCGTCTGGGAGACATACAATGTATTAACAATCATACCATGTAATATTGGTTTTTTGTAAATAGGTGTTTTTTGTAATTTGCTCCAGGGAGAAAAAATCGCTAATTTTTTTAATAATATCAAACATATAGCATCTTTTTCTGCTCTTTACCTTTTGTTTAATAAATAAGCTTTACAAATAAGTCAAATTTGTTTTTCTTCTAACTCTTCCTTTGCCTGATTTTTGCATTATCCTTAATTTATGGACATGAGTGTAATTTGAAGTTATCTACAAATTAATACAATTTTACTCATAATATAAAACTGTTTGTTTGTCAGATTTAATTAATTTGTATACGAATTCTGTGGTAAAACTATACATGGAATACATACAAAATAATTACCCATATAACGAAACTCTGAATAGCTCTTACAGATTTTCCATTACCCCCTTCCTTTCAAACATAAGCATCTTAAAAGTTATGAAGGTCAAAGATATAACTTCTGTGTTTAATAATCATGCATTAGTCACAGATGAAACTATTGAAATTGAGACCAATTTTTATAAAATATTTTTATTAAAACTGAAATATAACATATGAGAACATCAGTGTGAAATGTTATGTTAATTTCATAATTTTTCATAATAAATATCTGTAATACTTTTGTTCTCTATCAAAATCAACACGATATATTAGCAAATATTAACTCTAAATTATTCATATATATATACAAAAGATTTTATTACCATATTAATAACACCATTACTATATGGGCCATGTTCAACAATTTAATATTCATGCATTATTTGTAAATTATAATGAATGTTCAGAAAGCAGAATTAAATACAGCCAGTCCTATTGTGGAAACAATAGGACTGGCTGTATTTAACCAGCACTTACAAATAAAATTAAATGTATAATGGATAATCTCGAAGCGCTTGGACAAGAGCTGTGTCAAGCAGAATGATGTCTAAGAAGCTCCAAGTAGTGAGCTAAGTTATGTGCAGCAAAATATTCGCTTAGTAAGTCTATATTTATATGCCTGGTATCACTACATATGTGCTGCTTGACATCCTGTTTTTGTCTTTTTGTACTAATTCACAAAAAGTCATGTTTCTGTATGCAATGTAGTGTAGGCCATGTATATTATGACAATATGCTATGCTATGTTCAATCACATTTGCCTATGCTATGCTATGCCCACCTGCTGTACAGGTCATGTTATGCTGTTTATATATATATATATATACAGTCAAAAGTCTTTAATCCGGACTCGTCGGGACTTGGGCGATTCCGGATTATAGATCATCAGTTTAAATCTGGTAAGATGGCATGCAGAAATTATAAAAACTAAAAATATGAAACCGTAATTTATAAAATAATGAGCAATTATGATCTAAAGGGTATCAAAATTTACAAAAAAAGAAGCTTAATATTTATTTGTTTACTTTATTAAACATTTCTTTTAACGCGTGCATGCGTAAAGCATACATTACGCATAGTCGAAATTAGAAAATTGCAACCAGAAAACTATTTGATTTGTATTCGTGGAATTTATAATGACGAGGAATTTGATTTAAATCATATCAAAGACAGAGTACATCGAGATGAAATACTACATTTAATAAGGAATTATAAGCCGAATAAAATAAAAACATCTGCCCTGAAGATAACGATATTGCTGACAGATCAACTTCCAGTTCATTGCGTGCCGTGACGTCCCCCCCCCCCACACACAGAGCAGCATGAAATTGATAAACAGATTTCGGAACGGTTAGCTAAACAAAGGATATGCCTTTATCTATTTTTTGTAGCAATTCCACTTTTTGTTTGATGGACATCAAAACATACTTTCGTTTTGTAGATCCTTTGGGAGCTGCAGCATCGGAAATTCTATTTGACATAATCGAAAGTTCAAGCTTACTTTTATAAAATTGCTCTTACAGTCTGAAAAAAATAATAAGCCGGATCCAATTCGAAGATTAAGGAACAACGCAATCATCAACATTAACTGAAATAGATAATTAGATAATTTTAGCTTATACCGTCCGTTATACATTAAACGCACACGTGAAAACGTATTCTGCGCTTGTGCACACGCATGTGCGCAGTCGTAAAGGTCTTGTGTACACGCGTAAACGCCTATGCGCATGCGTCAACGCGGCGCATGCGCAGAAAGATTTTAGCTTTGAGGTCCGGATACAGATCATTCCGGATTATGGGTGTCCAAATTAAAGACTTTTGACTGTATATATATTTTTTGTTTATTATAAAAATGTTTTTTCAATATATATGCCTCTAAGCTATGTTCATAAGCAAGGCTATGTTCTGTATGCCGTGCTGGCTATATGACGCTGTGCATTTTATGTCGTAAATCTGTGATGTCAATATGTTATGTTGCATTACTATGTATATTATGTGTATGAGATGCTATGGTATGTCGCTACGCTATACCCATCTTTCATGTAGTTGTTATGTTGTGTATTTAATGCTGTTATTATGTAATCCTTATTCTATGCTATGTCACATGATGGTGCAATGTTAATGCTGTGTCATGTTATGTCTACGCTAAGCTATAATATGTCATCATGCAATGTCCACCTGTCGCATAGGTCATGCCACACTGCGAATTGTATGTTGTAAATATGTAACCACAATATGTTATGTCGCTATGTCTTATCTATGCTTATCTATGTTATGTTGCTATACTGTATCCACCTGTCATATAAGTTACATTACGTTGTGTATTTAATGTTGTAAATATGTTATGTCACTATGCAATGACTATATTCTATGCTATGTCTCCTCGAATGCTATGCCATGTTATGTCTGTGCTGAGCTATGTTATGTCGCCATGCAATGCTCTCCTGTTGTGTAGGTAATGCAACTCTAGGTACTTTATGTTGTAAACATGTTATGCTCTAGATGGAGTGGGTCCCGGACTATACCCGATTAGTCTTTGAAAGCCGTCCGGGTGTCCGGCCCTGCTGTCACCTGTCACCTGTGGAAACAATCGCATCCTGATCGGTATAGTGAGGCTGGTTATAATTGGTCACAGATTCAAATCCTGGAAAAGATCTGGATGCTTAAAATATAAACTGTCTGTGTGGCATGGGGGCATTTAAAGAATATTCCATGGGCCAAGCAAACCCTCAATAATACTCTCACATGGTCCCCACACATCACATCTACTATCAATAAGTTCCGAGTTTGTAAAGCATTACTCAACCCCTTAATTACTCGGAACAGTGTGTTATCCATAGATAATAAGTTACTTATTTACAAGTCCATTCTCAGACTATTACTCTGTTATGCAAGCCCTGTTTGGGCACACACTAGAAAGACTAATAGGCAGAGACTGCAGGCATGTCAGAATATTGCATTAAGGCAGATAATCAATGCTCCTTAGTATGTTCGAAGTAATAGAATTCACCAAGAGCTTTGTATGGAGCAGCTAAGATCTCATTATTACAAGCTAGCAAGAAATTTTCATGAAAAGCAGGCTACTTTAAGCAATCCAAGTATCAAAATATGTAACTACGACTACAATGATCTTAATAATATGGCTAGGCCATTGGCCCAGCTAAATGGCACTATCATGTAACCCAAGTACCCTCAGATTATAGGTGCTACCACTTTTTATGTAATGTCTCTGCCTAGTTTACTGTATCTGTATATGTAACTGTAAATTGTAATGTTTGTATCTTTTGTACATGTTTTTCTGATTTAATATTTAATATTTACAAATGGGTTCAGACTGTGAAAACTTGTAACTTACCATGTATGTATTTTATCACCAGCTCCACTGCTTCTGTGCCAGTCCTTACAGCTTATCTTCCCAAAATCTACTAAATGACACTTGCAATATTATAAGTAACACAGGCAGCTAAAGTTTAACTTAAATTAATTATGAATGAATAATAACAAAATATATATATAAGTAAAATGAAAGTGCATAAAATTAACAAATAGTAGAAGTATCAATTAAATGCTTCATTGACAGTTAACCATGTCAACTTTCGCAATTACAAAGATCTTTTCTACAAGGGTTAGAGCCTAGGCTCAGGCACCCTGGTGTTGCAACACCGCTCCACAGAGGTCTGGGGGGCATTTAAAATACTGGTGAGCTAGAATTCCTCTTAAGAGGTCTGGTGTTTGGGAAAGAAGGGTGAGACCTCATATACTGTCGTCCAGGGCTGGCACTACAGCTGGCATTACTGCAAAATTTTTAGAATTTAGAGAAACACCAAGCAAAAAAAACATAAAGATAGCAAAATCTTTAGAATTTAGCAGGGGCAGTGGGCAACAGAATTCAGGGACAGCAAAATTTTTAGAATTTAGGAAGATAACAGGCAGGAAAATTTTGAATCCATAGAGACTGAATCAGGCATCATCTAGCATCAGCGCTGCCTCTGTTGGGATGTAGCCATCAAAACTGGAATGGGACTACACCTGTAAAACTATAGTTGAAGTACTGGTATACTGCCTACTTCTTCTGCCATATTCTGTAACAAACATCTTTGAAGTTCATTACTATTTCTGAGACTGTAATAAACACTGATATTCAAAATCACTTCTCTAAAATGAGCACTCCATAAATGATCAAAATCAGCTTGAACCATGGGAAATCAGAAGTAAAACTCGCTTTATTTCACTAAGAAGCATCATATTTTAGTAATTTTTATATTTATTTGAAATGCATTAGAAAATATGTAAAATACACTAAATTAAACAATGCTCTGCAATTTTACCCCACCAGTAACTTAATGGTTAAACATCACTGAATACTGGTAATTTGACTTGGGTGAACAGGCTAGTTGCATGGTTGGTTTGCCATATCCACATAATCTAACCTAATCTCTACAAATAATGACATAAAAAATAACTGAAAGAGTGATACAAGTACTATTTTATTGTAAAATTCTGCAAAAGGATAAGAGTATTTACAATAAATGATTTATATTTAATTTTCCATCCAGTCATCTCTAGCCCAAATTGGCAGTTCAGTTTCAAATTCCCAACCATCACCTCTGTACCTTAAAGCATGGAGAAAAAGAATTAAATCCTTTGGTTCTGGATCCATATATCGCTGATGACACAAGTCACAAGCACTGTCCATTAAAAATTTTTCAGGGTCCTTTGCATACTTTTTGGCCAAATCTTCAAATCCTTCTGCTTTAATATAATATTCCAAAGCACGAACAGCTATTTTATTTTCAAGCTCACTTAATTTTTCTCCCTGTGATTCATCTTCAGATAGAAATTCAGCAGAAGAGTCATCTAAAAGCCATTTCTGAAGATTATGTGTTTGCATGAGATCTTCCAATAATTGCTCACGAGATTTACCAGTCTCACCATTTTTTCCTTTTAGAAGGCCAAACGCCTGTTCATGGTTATAAATTGGATCATTAACAATAGGATGGCCAAGATATTGAAGATGAACCCTTATCTGATGCATTCGGCCAGTTAAAGGCTTACAAAGTACAACACTTGATTTGCCATTATAACTTAATCTACTAAATTCAGTTTCACAGTCCTTTCCTGATGAGCTCACTATACTCACACCCATTTTAGGAGAGATGACTTCAATGGGCTCTTTACACAGAACAAGACCATCAGGAAATTTGCCCTCAACCCTACAAACATATTCTTTTTTGACTTTTCGTTCACGTATCTGTTCGTTAACTTCTTGTGATTTTTTAATAGTTTTAGCAAAAACTAGTAGACCTGATGTCAATCGGTCAAGTCTATGCACAGAGTACAATTCTTTTAAATTGTGTTCTTTTGCAAGGATAAACAAAAGACAATTATGACGATAACGACCGCATGGATGCACAGGTATTGAAGGTGGCTTATCAACTACCAGAAAATCATCACTAGAATGAATAATTTTTATTGGAGCTGCAGCAACTGCGATTTCGTGTCTATGAGCTTTATTAGTAACACAATCATTTTCTTTGAATATATAGTCGCAGCTTATAGTTTTTCCATTTATTCTAATATTACCACAGGTAATATTTTTTTCATATTCTTCTTTTGAATGTGCACGGAATTCTTGACTAAATACATCTATTAAACGTTTCCCTACCCATCGACCTTTACAAAATGTTGTGTATGTAAAATAATATGGATATACTTTTCGTAAGTGGTTTTCAAAATAATATTCTGCTTCATCAAATGAAGCTTCAGTAAAACCACGTCGTAATTCTTTGGAACATATTTTTTTGCTACTTTTAATTTGAAGTTCTGATTTTCGTTTGGATTGGAATATTTTAGAAGCATTGGATTCCATCGTTTTCTCACCCACTATTAATTTATCCGTTAAGTCCGCTGAATTCATAGCAAATATAAAATTAAAAACGTGATGTCAATTACGCTATTTCAAGTCCAAGACTTTTATTTGAGTAATATAACTTTTATTTCCTGACACGTTTTGCGTGGCTGAAGATAAACAAGTGCATAGCTGGACGATCTATCTTTACGCATGCTAGTATCGAAATAAATATAAAAATTCAAGAAATTAATATAAAAGGGCTAATCTTTATGCATGTTAGTATAGAAATAAAAATAAAAATTCACATTGTAAGAAATTAATATAAAAGGGCTAATCAGAGTAAACTAAACAACATTTTTAAATAATTGGCAGAATTTTTTAAAAGTTGATTAAGTTTATTTAGTTATTGATAAATTTCTTCTATATTTAAAATTACTTGTATTATAAAAGAAATTATGTAACTCAATTTAAATCTAGAACAAAGAGTTTTGTATTACTTTAAAAAAGAAGTTATTTAACTGTTTGGGAAAAGAGTTTTTGCGGCATGTTATTGTGGCAATACTAAAATTTGCTGTTCGTTGAGCCATTTTCCTAAACGCCGCTGTTTTATTAATTCAAACTTCGTTACCGTATTGATAGGTGATTTGAGTACTATTGACTTTAGGATTTAATTATATCCTGCAGGAACATGAGTGAAGGGAGATTTGATAGAGAACGGTATGCTTCTAGATCACGGTAAGAAATTGTTATTATCGGAAAGAAATACTGTATTTCTGACGCTTTTCTTGTCTTCCATTGCTGCTCTGTATTGTGCAATATGATGTAAAGATTTAGAATATTATTATGACTAAAAATTTAATTTGTATATTATTTAATGCTGTTAAATATGACTAATAATTATTTTATTGTAGGAAATTTAAAACCCGAACTTGTCTAGTTTTGAGAATGCCGGCTATGGTACCAGAATGAAATGTACAGAAAGTATTCGATCTTCTTTCGATTATCTGAACAACGCGCCATTAAAAAGCATTAAGCAATGAACTAAAAATTTTATTTATGCAGTGTGAAAATAACAGAATGAAGATATGTCTCAGGCACGTTCCCAAAAAGATGAAATAAATTTATACTACAATATAAAGAAAACACATTATAGATTCCATACTATAAGTCAAAAACGTATTCGATTATTTTCTAAAATGAGAACAAAAAAGGATTTACAGTATAATTAATATTTTATAGAATGTCTCTTAGACTTAATAATGGCTTTCAGTGTAGATGGTATGCTTACAATTAGTTAATCGTTTTTTGTTTATACCATTTTTCTCTAAAAGTTTTTGCTTTCTGGTTTTACTATCTTCTTCTGATCATTCGACCTGATTCTTCCCATAAATGTTCAATTGGAATAATTTGCTGATTGTGTGTGTGGGGGGGGGTTAAGTACTTTTGGTGTATTGTACAACAGCCAGAGTCTGGTATTAGCGCTCTATGCTTTGGATCATTATCTTGCATAAATACAAAATCTTTTGATAATCCCATAAATTGAGCACTAGCATGTAAATCTGTTTTCAAAATGTTAATATGTTCCTTATCGTATATTATGTTATAGATAAAACATAGTTTTTCCTATAACTGCATAAGATATGCACTCGCAAACTATAGCAGAATGTCCCCATTCTTTACTGCTCAGATTTTTCAGTTCAAATTCTTTATTTGGTTGTCTCCATACCATCTGCTCCAAATAAGTTATATGTACTTTCATGACTAAATTTACTTTTTCTCAAGAGTATAGTGGCTGATTTACATATTTTTTCACAAATAATAGAATAGGACAATCCAGTCCAGGCGCCCATTGAAGTGAACGTATCGATCAAGGATGCTAGCCTTTTCTATTGACTTCAGACGTATGAAATTTCTTTCAAGCTGATTGTCCTAATAACCAAAGTCTTTAAGGGCATTTCTTACATTTTGGATATAAACTTCTACTTTTCCGTTTCGCCGGCGCAAACCTCGCCATTTCCCTTTCTCCGGCGCAAATCTCGCCAAGCAGACCTTATTGGCGACAACACACAGTATACACATAAAAAAATGTTAAGAAATGTTAATTCTAAGAATTTTAAACATTTTTTTTTTTTTTTTTTTATTTTGGAGGCATAAATATTTTAATATCGTTTAGAATTTTTTCAAATGTGTCTTTTGTGTCCTTTCGCCGCATAAATTCAGCGAGGTAACTTTCCAGATGATGCCAAGCAGTTCCTCTGTGTTTCTTATTCCGCCATTTTGCGCTTCCCCATAGTCTTTCAATTTTTTGCGTGTGCGTTCCAGTTTCCGGATCTACAAAATTGTATTTATGGTTCACTTTGAAATGTTCGAAACTTTCCTCTTCCAGTTTTTCAGTGCAATATGATTTCCATGAATCGGAATATATTGTAGTTCCTTTTTCGATGTTTTCATTTATTGCCTCTAATATAATACTCATGGATCGGTTTGGCACCATCACAAGGAAAAATTCGTTTGTTTCAACGACAAACTCCACCAAAGATCCACTGTTGTGGTAAAATCCGTTCCTGTGTTGTTTTTACACTTCGTGAACATACTTTCATCCAACATCAACGATCATACCAGGTCCTCTTATTTTGCGTTGTTGACGTTTAAGTAAAGAATCCACACAAACCTCTCGCATGTAGTTATTCCAATCCACAACTGGTTCCGTGACTTGATTTCCAACTGCTTTTCACACCATTTAACTGAAGTTAATACTTCACTCCAACCATAAATGAAATCTTAAACACTTCAAGAAACTTAATCTCAATGATTCAAACACATGTGCCTTTCCGTATACTTCTTTTACTGCGGCAAGTTGAAAGGTTTGCAACGCCATTGAATTTCAGTCTCCGAAATATAATTTCATTTCATGATTATTTTCACAAATAGCAATGTTGGGCAAAACGCCTTTCACTTGAAAGAACCTGATGGATTCTTCCTCTGTCCTGGGCAAATCCCAAATTTTCATTGGTTTTTCATCCATTTTTGACATATTTGTAAAAGACGTTAATTTAAGACTTTAAAGACGTTAAATTAAAGATTTACTATGCTTTCATGGTATAACCTCTTGATTCGCAGGTTAATATCACGTGATCCCAAACAATCTCATCTCACGTAAAATACGCGACAAAAGTCTGATTCTCTCAGGAATTATCTACATTAATTTCAAGTTAAATCTCAGTATGGAATAAGAGTTTAAATGCAAGAATTATTTCAATATTATAATTAAAAAAATTCTATGTAACTGTATGCCAATATTGAAAAAAAAAAAGGTAAATCTGATAATAATTCTCAGCGACTTGTTTTGAAAGTGCCGTGAAAGGTTATCAGCGAAGATATTCGCTTTGGCATCAGTTCTACCATTTTCGGCGACTTTTATCGCTTGTGCCGGTGAAATGGGGAATTGCGCCTCCCAAACGGAAAAGTATCAAACCTTATTTCTTAATCAGTAGTTTTAATTCTGAACCACTTAATGTTGCATCTTTATCATATCTGGTCAACCTTTTTGGTTGCCCACTTCATGTTCTATTTACAAATTTGTTGATTTCAATATTGTACGGTTGAAAGTTGCCTTTTAATAGTAGGAATAAATTTCTCGTGTGTTTCTCCAGATTTCCTCATACTGATTACAGTTTTCTTTTCTTTAATTGTAGTTTCCTTTCTGAGATATTTTAAAATTTCCTATTTAAAACTACAGAAATGAGTATGACTCAGGAACAAAAGTTTCAGATAACCTTAAAGCAATACTCTTGTAATATGTGTTAATGCAAACTTTGTAACCCTTCGAATGACCTATAAATAGCCAGAGTTGAATACTTTTTTTGGAGATAAAAACAGGTTTTTTTTACACGCAAGTTCCTTTTATCTCAACAAGTTTGTTTCTTTAAATATGTTTTTGAATTAATGATGCAAAAGGGTGATGTTTTTGCTTAATAATTAGTATAGACTTTGATCAGGACTCAGAAGAGAAAGGCTAGCTCATAGAGCTTTTCCCCCTGAAGCAGAAAGTGAGAAGTGATGACGTAGCCATGATGACACTGAGCGCGCCAATATAATTCACAGCTTGGAAATTAGCGTTTTTGAACCAGCATTTAAAATGAACTGTGTGTGAAAGAAAGCTATAATTTGGAAGAGGCAATGTTACTTTATGCATTTTAGACTGAACCATTAAGAATTTAATAATGCTTACTCAATTTTAAAGTAATAGATAAAATGTGCTACTCTTTTAACATAAAGTTCCGTGTTTTTTTTTTTTTTTTTTTATTTCATGCACGTTTATTTCTAATCATTTCTTTATTTGCATGCTAACTGAGAGAATTTTTATACTGCTTCTAAGATAACTATAATAGTAGCTATTTTAAATTTACTCAAAAAACGACTACATTGACATAGGTTTAAACATATATGACATATATGGCAACATTTCTGCTACCTACGTTTGATTTTTTGCCTAATTGTAAATTTTACATTGTTATAATTCTCTTCCGATTCAATATAATAGATATTTTTCAAACTATAATTTCTGCCACAAGATGGCATTGTATGTCCATATGGTTTCAGATACATGTGCATTAGACCTTCTACTTGAAGTGAGAGAAACATGACTCACATACACGTGTTTTTGATTATATAAACAAACGGGGAACTAAATGTTCGGCGTGATCGAATGGCGTGATTTATGACGTCTCTTTAAATCGCACTTTATTCGCACGTGGTAGTTGTTTATTTTAAGTAGAAGTTTTATATGCACTAAAGCGTTGAGTATTTCCGTTTACGGTTCAGTTTTTAGAAAATAATTAGATCTTGTTAGACGTGAATTCTTTCTGTTTTTAATAACGTTTCATCATCAATGTCGAAGCGTCGAAAATGTTTAACAGAGCATGAAATAGCAGAAATGATGCAAAATGTTTCAGATATTGATTCTGAAATTCTGATATTGATTCTGAAAAGATTAACTGAAAGACATTTTCCAAAACTTTGTTCAGAAGAGACTGATAAGAAAATGAGACAACGATGCTTCGTTTGTTCACATTCCCGGAAAAATCCTCCAAAACGGCAGATGAGTTGTTACGAGTTCAAGGAATGTAACGTAGGACTGTGTGTAGATCCCTGTTTTAAAATTTTTCATACGAAAAGAGAATTTTAAGTAATATATTTAATTTTCAGATGTGTAATGTTAAAAGTCATAAAATGGTGAGTAATTAAAATAAAATGTGTAAAATATGCATTTAAACAAGAAATAAGGTAATTAAAGTATATGTATAAAAATATCTATAAAGCATAAGCTGTTTAAATACTCTATAGAGCATTATTAAACAATGCGTTGATACTTCGGAAATTTCATGGATTTAGGCTTAGTAGCAAAAAAGCTCCCGGCCCTGGAGAGACGCTCGCGGAAGACACTGCCGGCCTCCGCGATAAGCGCACGTTTTCGCTACCCGGCTCGAAGAGGTTAAGAAATGCTGGTTATGAACATTTCACTTTGAATAACAGTTATAATTTTGTAGAACCTGGAACTGGATGCCCCATACCCAAACTGTGGAGCGATTGTGGGGCAACCAGGTGGAGAAATAAATGTCAGCTGCTCGGCAGCATTTAGAGCCGTATCTGTTAGAATTTATGTGACATTGGTTGTATTCAAGAACTGAAATTCTTTCTGCAGTATAGAATGATATTTTTAATTTTATGCCACTTGTTAAGATTGAATTTCGTTTTGTATTGTTATCTTTTATTTATGTGTAGAATATTATAGATTAAAAAATTGAAAGGAAAAATTTACCATCTTTAAGAATTGAGAAATTAAAAAAAATATTTACTGTTTGAAGAACTAATTTGTTTAGTCTTTTGAATTCTTGTTATTTCATAATTTTACACTTGGCAATAATTGATGGTTATAAAAAACGATGCATTTTTAACTTATGCCGCACTAATGGAATTGTATCCAATTTTCAAATGGTATTGTTCATGGTTATTGAAAACTGATTTTTCTAACACTTTTATAACATCAGTCTTTTGGACATTAGCGATATCCTTCCAGGAAAGACATAAAAATCGCTTATTGTAGATTTGGTTACATACTTCACATGTATGTCCTTAAGATCAATTTGTGTGATTTCATCAATGAATGTTTTTGTAGACTTTTTCCCTTTATATTCAACAAGTACCCATTTTCCTGGTAAAAGTTTTATTTCTGATTTCTTGATCACCTTTCTTTAGTAGACTGGATTTTTTTTTTTTTTTTTTTTTTTTTTTCCTTTCTTCATACTGAGCCTGTTCTCCATAGTTAATCTTTTCCTTATTAGCCTGTTGTAATTCTTTTATGTAAAGATGATCTATTACTTCAGGTTCTGTCAGAACTTCCCCAACTGTATGTTTGACTTTTTTCTTTCTTTTTCATATAGAATTAGCTGTTGCAGCTTTAGTGGCATTTGCTTCCACAGGTGAAAGTGTTATCAATATAGCAGATTTCAGATCTTTGAATGTTGATTGATTAAATGGAACGATACAACTCTGATATACGCACTAATTTCACCAAATGTGGCAATGTGTGTTCTGTGCTGGTTTTTGGCACAATTACGTGTTGTACGGCAATCCTGTTGACGTTGAAAAATCTTTCGCTGGAGTTAGTTGGTTCACGTCATGCTCTGTGTCTGAGAAGCTAAGGGGGAAAGATAAAATGGTGGAAGTTGTTGAATTGAAGTTCGACCAAAGGAAATATCGTCATGGCCATCCTGTGGAGGGGCAGTGGGTATTTGGAGGTGTGAAAAGAGGGCCTGGGGGATTATTTTTAGTGTCTGTGCATGATAGAAGTAGAGATTTGTGATTATTTGTTATTTTATTTATTTGTGAACCATAGTAGGAATTTTCTGGATAGTGTGTCTGGCTGTCATAAATACGATAGTGATTATGTGGCGGCGTGTTAAAGGCGGTATGAAATTGTTATTTCTCCTGTTCGAAAAAGCATTAATTCATGGTAAGTGCATTTTATTTTATTCTTGTCTTATTTTGTAGAATGTTATGTTCATTGTTTTTTTAGTATGAATTTCTGTCGTTATTGTTGTTTTTTTGAATTGTTTGAAATTTATTTTAGTTATTTTGTTGATTAGTGCGTACCTTCTAAATTGTGCAATTCGTAAATGTTTTTTAAAGTTGAAAAAGAACGATGTATACATGGTATTGTTTGAAATTTGTTGTTATGTTAATTTATTAAAGTTAGGTGTGCGTAGTTCGTAGATTCGTTTGTTGCCTAAATTGTGCAATTCTTAGATGTTTTTTCAAGTTGAAACAGGATGCTGTGTACATGGTATTCTTTGAAATTTATTGTTGTTATGTTAATTTATTAAAGTGAGGTGTGCGTAATTTGTAGATTTGTTTGTTGCTTAAATTGTGCAATTCGTAGATTTTTTTTTTTCAAGTTAAAACATATCGCTGTGTACATGGACTCCTGTCAAATAATTTTGGTTAGAAACTTTACTGTTTTGCTATCTAAATTTTTTGTTTTTGTTTCGAATTTTTAGCTTAAATTGTGTGTTCAAAACGTGGTTTTTGCGTGTTTTTGGAGACAATTTAGGCTTAAGTTCGAAATGACAAAAAATTTAGATAGCAATATGGCAGCATGGAGTTTCTTGCCAAAAATATTTGGCAAGAAATTTGGCGACTTGAGGGCGCATATCAGAGTAGTTCCAATGGAACTTAAATAGTGTTTTGTTTATTTGAACAGGAAGGAAGAGCTGCATCGGAACCTGAAGTAGCATTTGTACTCTCTTACTATTGCATTGAAAGAAGTAGATGATACATCCAATTCTTCAGTTGCTCCTTAGTCAACACAATCCTATGTGCCACTTCTTTCATGTTAGGAAAAAAAATGGCTGCACCTTTGAAACCTTTTACAGCATGATCTTTGTGTAAAGTTTGTAAAAGGTTATTTCAGAAGAAGAGAGAAAACAGGTTTAGAAACCTTTTCCAAACACAATCCTATGTGCCACTTCTTTCATGCTAGGAGGAAAAAATGCCTGCACCTTTAAAACCTTTTACAGCAGGATCTTTGTATAAAGTTTGTAAAGGTTATTTTGGAAAATGAGGAGAAACAGGTTTAGAAACCTTTTGCAACCTTGTTTATTGAAACCACTGTTTTAAAATCAGTCTCCAGGATTTTTTTGCAGGTGCGAAAACTCCCACATTAAGATGTTACAAGACATTGGATGCATTAGGGGGAAGAGGTGAAATAATAATTTGATTTTTAAGTGCAGCCTTCACTGTCCTGCAAGTCAGATGGCTGCCGTGACCATCAAAAATGAGAACAATGGGTTTTTCAATGTTTTGTACAAAGTGTTCCATCCATGATTAAAAAATTTTGTCTTCTATCCAACCAGATGCAGAAAATTCATAAATAGCATTCTGTGGTTCAGGAATTGTAAGTGTGCACTTTTGTACACTAAAATAACATAGTACATAGCTTATCCTGCATTGAAAGAAAATAAGCATTTCTACTGTGCTTTGAGACTCTGAAATGATCATTTCCACTCTTCTTTGAGACAAACACTTTGCTCAGGTCTGTACGCTGACAAGCTTCATCTAGATTGAAAATTCTTTTAAGACAAGTAGTTAATTTATTTCTCCTTGTCAATTGGATGTATGATGTGAAAAACTATTAATACCGTCTGCAGGCAAAGCTGCTGCTCTTGATGCCCAAACTTCTGGTTTTCGATTTGTAAACTCATTGCTTCATGTTTTTTCAAAACCTTTTAGCCATTCTATGCTAAGCATGAGATTACTATGTTTTATTACTTGATTTGATGTATTTATCAGCTATATTTATAACATATTCCCTATCGTGAGAAATTTCAAAGCAACCACAATAGTATATTTCTCATCTTTGTGAGGATTGTACTCTATTTAGAACCTCTTTTAAGTAGGAGTTTTAAATACCCATCTTCCGAGAGTTTTAAAAAGTATACCATATTGTTGCGCAGCTGCACGAATCGTTTTTCTAATTGTTATAGCTTTCAATACTAACTGCAAATGCGACAAGTCGTAGCTCAAAGTTCTCTTTTTTATATAGTTTCTGGACATGTCTATTACAAGCAAAAAACAACATATATAATACCATTAAATGCTGATACTCAGACATAATAAAATAAAATTTATCTACCTATAGAACAATCTTATTGGTTGCCAGCCAGAAATTAGACAGAATTAAAGGTTAAATTTTAAGGAAGATTGAACTAATTATTAATCATATGTTTAAAATAATAAACTGATAAGAGACATGTTGAATTTCTTGCATGACATGCTAATTAAATTTAAAGTAATTAATAACATTGTTCATATTAAATAAAATTAAATTTATAGTGATATACAGAAAAAAATGAGCTAAGCCTAGTCAATTAATAAAGTGTCATATTTTGGCAGTCGGGCACATGAATGAATCTTGGTCTTACCTGATGTACCAAGCTTCTTTCATGAGAAAGTACTTTAATTTTGCATTATTATTTGTTAAAATGAATATTTCAGAATTTAGCAAACCATGTGATTACCACAAGAACATTCTGAGTGTATGTTTTCCTTATATTACCATATTCATGAACATAATATTTAAGATATTAAATCTGCTGCTATCAAACTGAGAAATATAACAAATTTGGGTTAAAAAAAATCAGTTGTATTTTTATTTACATTGAATTAATTATAAAGTGACCTATTTTACCCTATTCTACCAACTTTTCATTATGACATTTTGGTGCTGTGATGTATAATAAGTTGTATTTGAATAAGAAATTAAATCCTAGAAGTGTTTGCAACCCTTTTATATATTCTTGTGAGTTTTATAGAGAGTTGTATATAAAGACAAATTATTACGGTAATTTAATAATTTTTTCTATCGTATGTATGTGCATAGCAGGGTGAAAAGAGTACAAGTACATACTATGGAAATTTTTTTATTCAGTCATGTGAAAGTAAGAAATTATATTTTAGTTTTTATTATCAGTATTATAGGCAGTTGTTGCATATTTCCTACATTATAGGCTCTCGAGTATGAAATAATGACAATGTTTAGAAGAAGTTTGTTGAAATATTTAAATTAGTAGCATTCTGTTACTGCAAATTAAAATTACTGAATTTATTTCTTAAATGATGTTTTATAATTAATTTATTTTGCATATTACAGATCAAGATCACCTTTCCGAAAAAATTTCAATGAAAGGTCATATGATGATGAGTACAATAAGAGCAAAAATAGAAGACGTGAGCGTAGTTCGGATACGAGAAGAGTTGGAGGTGGTGGAGGAGCTGCTAAGAACAGAGTCTTTGTAAACAACATTCCCTTTGAATGTCGCTGGATGGAAATAAAAGATTTATTTAGAGAAAAAGGTGATTATACTTTTTTTTTTTTTTTTTTTTTTTTTTGTTTGTTTGTTTTGGAGCAGCTTGAGTATAGGACTCAATTAGCGATTTTTTGACTTGGCGACCGAAAAATGGTGCCAAGTCATCGCCAAGCTGTGAAAAAGCAGTTAAAATTGAAAATACAAGTTTAGAATACATGTTATAACCAGAAAAAAATTTTAAATACAAATTTAGAATGTTTTTTTAAAAAACAAAATCGAAAATACATAAGTAGGTGGAGGCATATTTTAGCAATAATAAAGAAAATATAAATTTATCCATGGAAAAGCAATTAAAATTAAAGTTAGAATGCACATTTTAACCAGAAAATTTAAAAATGCAAATTTAGAATATATGTTTAAACAGTAAAACTGAAAATACATAAATACATGGAGGCATGTTTTAAGCAGTCTTGTTGAAAATAAAAGTTTTAATGTGTAAAATTGAAAATAGAAGCTGAGAATACATGTTGAAATTAAAATTAGGAAAATAGCAGTTAAGAATAAATGTTTAAATTAAAAATAAAGAAAAATACTGGAAATTAAGAAAAAGTTTGAAAATACAGAAGTACACGGAGGCATATTTTTAGCAGCAATATTGAAAATACAAGTTTTAAGTTGTGAAACTGAAAATGGGAGTTCAGACTACGTGTGTAAATTCGAAACAAAGAAAAAAAAAATGCTGGAAATTAAGAAAAGTTAAGGTAAATTTAATTAAATTTACGAAGAAATCCTATACTTTGCCCATTTACATCCCTTACAATTTCTAGAAATTAGTTTCTGTTTCTGTATCAACAAATGCAAACTTTGATTTATGTTTAAATCCTGAAAACCCTCCTTACTTAAATGGTCATAGCTTTCCATATATCAGAATAAATTGTGGTCCCTGCCTTAATCCACTCCTTAACAACACCCAATAGTGAACAATTGTGAACAGCTACCAAAAATAGTTTGCCAGATTCTCTCTCAACCCCTCCAAAAATCCACTGCCCCTTATATTTCTGCTTTCCAAATTTACTTTCATCTATTTCTACTATCTTCCCAATACCATTTATTTTTTCCAGTGACAGTTTTATATAATCTAAAGTAGTTTAATTTGTAAATTGCCTCCAGTCTGCTAATATATTAGAAGCCAAAAAAATATTTTCTTGAATAGCCCATGTTTTAGTTCCTCTAAGCATTTCGTATGTTAAGAAAAATATTTCATCCATACTGAACTTACAGTTAAAAAGCCATGATTCATATCCTAATGACTTGAAATTCTGATTCCTTCCCTGCCGTAACTCTCCTACACACCGACATAAAACCATCTGACTTTGACTTTTTAATCTTAAAAATTTCAGAATTACATTTTACACATACAAATCCCCTGTTTATCAAACATGCTTTCTTTAAAAAGTCTAAGAATAATTGTTCATCTTGACATAAATGAAAAAAGAACAACCTATTCGCTAGACTAGGCTTTCGTGTCATCCTTCCATTTGAGAACTAAAATTTTAAATTTCCCAATAACTTCTCAATAACGCTTAAAACAGATGGCATCTTAATCTGAAAATATAAGGAAATTGGAATAACCCCTAAAGGAGTTATTCAAATATTTTGTGATTAAAATTACAGGTAACCCTCCTATAACATGGTAGATAGGTTTCTAGAAAATTTTGTTTGTGTGAAACCGTGTTGTACGAGACCCAGAGCCAGTACAAAAAAAGGGGTTACTTTCCGTAAACTTATTAAAACCAAGTATTTTTTAAAATTATATGTAAATAACTTTAATTCTTGTTAAAAATATAAATGTATGTACAATGCAAAACAAAAAATATTATTTTAATTTAATTAATTTCTTCGTTGTTGCTCAGCATAATCAACTGAGAATGTTTTTCAGTGGAATCACATCACTTTCATTTTCAGAATTTTTCATTTAAAGTTCTAGCACCTTCATCCCACTTTTAAAAAATCTGTGATTTTATTATGCATACTAGATCTTGCCAGGTCATTGTAAATTTCTTGACGTGGAGCTAGACAGTTTTGCAGCCCCCTCTTGAATTTTCGGCTTCTTTCAGCAGAAGGTATTCAGAAAAGTAGAAGCAGCATTTAAGAAAAATGACACGAGAGTTTCAGCTAAGCTTAGGCCTACTTTTAATTTTTTTACTGTTAAATTATTAACTGCACCATCTTCATCAATGAGCCTTTTGAAACTTATCTTTAGCGTGTCGCTTTTGTTAATTTCCAGATAACAGACTTGGGCGAAGGCGCAAAGGTAACCAATTGTATGAGTAGCAGGGAAGGTTGCTTTGACAATGTCTATCTCTGCCATGGAGGTCCTTACCTCCATGATCTACGTACCTTGAAGAGTAAGGGGATCAGAATTTCTCTGACTGATATTTGGGTCAGATCATTTTTATTCCTTTGAAACCCTGCAAATCTGGCGTACATTTCGCCCACCTATTCAAAGTGGACAATGTTGGTGCTTGCTCAATACTGGAAAAACTTCGTGCAGTTTGTTCAATTTCTTGGGCTATTTTCTTATCGTGTTAGAGCAAAACTGTGTTGTAGGAGGGTTCTCGTGATTTATGATTCGTGTTATAGTGAAACTGTGTTGTAGGTGGGCTACCTGTACTTATAAGGATTGAGTTAGCAACTTTTTTAAAAAAAATTAATGATTATCATAACTTCGAAAACACTGCCAATCTATGAAAAGAAAATAATTAAAATTACGTTGGTGTCCTATACTGAAGCTGTACCTTTGTTTTTACTTTAGAGAATCTGCTCAGAACATTTTGATTTAGGCTTTCCAAGGACTAATTTGGCAATACCAGCCGAAATAATTGCTATTTCAAGTTATGAAAGGCAAAGCAGTTTAATTTTTTAAAAAAAGAAGGTTTTTCCAAAGATTTTCATGAATTTCGATGCTGCATGCCTAAAGGAGTTATTCAAATATTTTTTGATTAAAATTACTTATAAGCGTTGAATTGGCAACTTTTTTAAAAAAATTAATAGTTACCATAACTTGAAAAACAGGAAAAGAAAATAATTAAAAATACTTTTTTTAATATAAAAATAGTGACAAAATACAAATAACACAACAAAAAATTGAGAATACTATTAAAAATACAAAAATGATATTAAACACTATGTTATGTCACCTAGTACTGTTTTTATATGTGCTCTGCAATCTGCTAAGTAGAATTGCTTAAAAAACGTCTGAATTGCAAAAACTAGCCATTGTGCACATTAAATATATATTTATGTTACATTACTGCTTTTCTTCTCATGTACATAGCAATCTATTTTCACTTAATAAACATCAGATAATTGCATTAATTCAATAGTTCTTACCCACTATTATTAATTAGAAACTATTAAATAAGCAGTAAGAAATAATTCTTACCTCTTTTGAGAAACTGATTATCCAACTTAGGATGAACTTTCTTTATATCGTCTGTGTTTGACAAAGACTGCTGCTGAGGATTGCTTATGCATTTATTGCTGCATGTATTCAGCAAGGTAAGAATCAAATTGATCTTTATGTTTGCAAGTTCCATGTGTGCGTCTTTTAATAGAACTTCATGAGTCTTCAATATAGTTTGTGCTAGAAATAGAGTCTTTAAATGAGACAGTATGGTTTAATAAAAGATGTACAAGTCCTTCATCCTTAAGACAATAATGTGCCTTCCAGCAATCTGAAATATTGACCTGCTTTATATTTTGTTGAATGACTTCTAGCAGAACTTCCTTTGTTCCGTCCTCAAAATCCTTAGGTGGGAGACCCACTACCTGACTGACATTTTTTCAACTCCTTCAAACATTCAGGTTCATTCATTCACTATTTTTTCAATTATATTGTTATACATACAGTGGTGGCCAAAATTGTGGACACTTTTGGAAATTTTTATGTTTTTGAACTTTGTATGCTTATAGAAAATGTTACGTTTCGCAAAATGCAAACTCGTATATATCATTTTAAAGAGAATTTATTACTGAATTCAATACAAAACACAAAATTCAATTATTTGCAATACAAAAGAAGTTATGTGTACTTTAATATAAATAAAAAAAAACAATTCATTGTTTTGCTTTGTTCTGTAGAATGAGGACCTGTTTCTTATACACTGCAATTACAAGTAGGAATTTTTGTAAAAACTTTTAATATTTAGTCAAGAAGCAATGACATCAGATAAAAGAGTAGATTGGACACCTAGAAAGAGATGTAATATTATTGTGTTACGAGAAAGTGGTCTTTCCTATCCTGAAATTGCAAGACAGGTGGGTGGTTCAGTGACTACGTCTGGAGTCCGAAAGTTTTGTTTACGACATCAGGAGACAAATTCAATAAAAAACAAAGAAGGAAAAGGCCGAAAAAGGTACACCACTTCTATTGATGACAGAAGAATAAAAGGACTATGTGTCCAAGATAGAAAAATGTCATCATCGGCCATCAGAAGTGATCTGAATGATGGTGGTGTTTTTGTCAGTTCAAGAACAATCAGGAGAAGATTAACAGATGTTGGACTGAGAGGTAGAATTCCACAAAAAAAAGCCTTATCTTAATTATCAGCAATGAAAAAAAAAAAAAAAAGACTACAGTGGGCAAAGGAACACATTAATTGGACAGATGATCAGTGGTCACAAGTTATATGGAGTGATGAAACTAAGATATCGTTATTCTGTAGTGATGGGCGAAAATATGTAAGACGTAGAATAGGAGAAGAGCTACATCCTGACTGCATTCAAGCAACTGTGAAGAACCCAGTTAGTGTTATGATTTGGTCATGCATGTCAGCAGATGGTATTAGTCGCCTTCATGTCATCGATGGGACACTGAATGCCAGAAAATACATTGAAATACTTGAATAGTTTCAAGAACCAAAACTTATACCTTCCATTAGAGATCTCTTTCCCAATAATGCTTCGTTTATTTTTCAGCAGGATTCTACTCCTTGCCACACGGCCAAATTTTCGAAAGAGTGGTTTCGTACAAAGAGCATTAGA